TTTTTTTTGCTTTTTTATGAATCCTTGAGATTTCAGAGTTAGGCTGTAAGGTACATCATAACACAAAAGCTTGAGCTGCGGGGGTGTGCTCCTCAACGGTGTTTTGGGCTTTGGCATCCCGCCAGGCATCGAGTTAGCGCCAGTTCGCTGGCCATCAGAAAGCCATAGACCGAACGAAACCCTGCTTCCTTACTGCTCGTCGTTGGCTGCCTGGGATCCGCTTGGATAGATAGGCTGCCTGCGATCCACTGCGAACGAGGCAGGCGGTGAGGCCTTCAGCCAAGCCTGCTGGTCCGACCGCCGCCACCGCCGCATGCAGTTTACAAAGGTCGATGAAGAGAGTTGATGTGTTTTTTTTTGGGGTTGACACCCGGGACAGTCTGAACAATCCCGTTGGCTGTTGACAATGTGTACCAAAAGCAGGCCATCTCGGATGTTTGTTGGATCATCCAGGCAGGTACGGTACGGGGTGGTTCGTCGTTTGTCGGTACCATGACTTTTCGCAGTCAGGACGTGGTGATCGGAGAAAGCACTCTCGCGGAGCAGGCCCGGAGTAGAGCAGCTCGTGACTAGCGGGGGCCACACACACTGAAAATGCGAAGTTTCAGAGACTTGTGAGACATGTGTTGATGCATATCGAAACGCTGAAACCGTTTCACCTATTTTGTGCGATATCTGGGGATTCTCCCATGCTGCATCTCATTTTGAGAGACTGCAGGGCTTAAAAACCTCCAGAGAGGTTTTGTGAAACCTGCTTGCTTGGTTTGCGTGGAGTATTCTTTTTAGGGTATGTGATGACTAGACTAGTTTCCCTGCCGACAGGTTCTCCTGGATATTTTCACTGAGCCATACATGGCCCGCAGACAGTGGCCCCTGGAAGAATACTCTTCCTTTCAAATGGGGCCTCTTCTGTCAAATGGCCTTTGTTGCACAAAGAGAGAGGGTCACCAAGTAAGGCCTTCAAGTCTGGTCCATCAAATGTTGAAGCACCAGCAGTTCCAGCTCGTGCTGCAAAAAATCGGCACCAGCTCGCGCCCCCTGAAATCCTCATGATCTCAATACACATAGGGACTATATCATAGCATCTAGAAACCCGTTCCTTTGGCTTTGACTTTTGCACTCTTTTTTCTCGAGTTGCTTGGGGTGGAAACCGTGCATCGCTTGATTCAACCATTCGTGTCGGAGCAGGTGGTCTCCTGTTCAGGCCCGCTCGAAGGCGGGGACGGAAATGGCTTTTGGGAGCCCAGTGGGGGAAGAGAACCGCCGAGAGATGGAAGCTACCAGATGAGCAAGGCACAAAAGCTCCCAAGATGAACTAAAGGCCTCGTCATATGGAACGTATTTTTGCCCAGCTCAGATGAAACTTCGCCGCACTTCTTCTTGGGCATTTGTGGAACAAGTCGGACTGGGACGTGGGCAATGGAACCTTCCGACAGCTCAAACCTCACGTGGTACTCATGCAGTGCTCCCTGGGTTCCCATGCGTCCCTCAAGGGCGGCTCCCTCGGGCTTCGCACCTGTGATGGAATCAGTTATGAATCAAGCTGAGTGTTGGCCGTTTGAGGTGACTCAGTGGAGCCCTCACATTCAAAAAGAACGAGAAACACATCCGAGCCGAGCCCCGAGCCCCGAGACTCCTTTGGGCACTGCAGCGCCGCCTTCTGCCCGTGCCTCACCCGGCGCCAGGGCTCCAAGTCGCCATCCCCTTCGTGGTGGAAAAGGCCCCGAGCCGCGCAGAAGCGGCCGCGCACCGCGTCTCGCGGTGGGCAGTCCAGACGTTGACAGAGGAACAGCATGGGTAAGGCATTAAGCACCAAAGTTAGTATATATAATTTGGGTTTGTCCGAACTGACCTGAGTAAACAAGCAAACACTATTTTTGGACAAGGCCTCTACTAATCATCATCATCATCATCATCATCATCATCATCATCATCATCATCAT